CTCCGAGATCTCCTCACAAATATATAGTTTAATATTTTAAAAGTCTCGGTAATTTCCTCAAACAGCTGCTCGCTGTAGTTTCTATCAGACAAACAGAAAGAAACAGTGCATTTGTTGGGGACTATTTTCAGCGGCGGATGATCCACACGTGTGCTGTAGCGAGGATTTGGGGCAGCAGGACGGAGTCAGAATAAACTACGGTGTGTTCACGGTGATGAAGGAACATGTGACCCAGGCTCACTGATAGTTTAATAGTTTCTGGCTGTGACACAAATATATAGAATAAATGTAGTCTTATCCTTTAAAATCCCAGTTTGTCCTGCATGCAGACTACGTCCTCTTTCTGTCACTCAGACCAACAGCTCTGTCCCTCCAGTGAAGATCCACATGGAGGTCATAGAGCCGGTCCCCGCCTGTGTTAACCCTCCCACCCAAAACCAAACCTCAGATTGTGAGTACACCAGCCCTTTCCTCCACCTGTCGTTGTGCCAGTTTTTTAAATCTTTAATGCCATTTACTAAATGTGACAGATTAAGTTGCTCTTGGCCATGATTAATGTGATAATGTGACTGTGAGTTCTATCTAATTTACATGAATTTTAAGTTAATCATGATATTCCACTGCGTACTTGTGTTTGTCTAGAGAGAATCCCGGGCATCAGATGTTTGTTAGCAAAACAGAAGTGCACCTTTAACTCTTCTCATGGGGGTTTAAAACATTTCAAGGACAGAGGTCAGCAAATTTCAGAGGGCAAAGCTGCTCCACAGCGTTACAAACTCCAGAGGTTTCCTTTATTAAAACACATCCTCACTCCCAACTCGTCACTTATGGACGCTTCGTATCGTTTTTGCACGTGTATGGCTCTGTGGTCACCTGCAACAATAAATATGCAACATCTGGTTACAGTTTCAAAATAAATGTACTTGTTAAAGTTGCGAAATGTCACAATTTTCAAACAGCACGTCGTTAACATTGTGAAACGTTGCAATTTGGTTTTTTAGCCCCAAAAAGTACTCTGTTATGTTTAGGAAAAGATCATGGTTTGGGTGAAAATAACTACCATCAAACTTTGAGTAATAGCCCAGGGCTTTTATTTGCTAAAATCACTGACTTGACCCTGCCTATATTTGGGACAGGTGTCCATATGGGACTGGCCTTTAATTCCTGTTGCACAAAACTGAAATAGGCTTCTATGAAACCGTTTATTTATTTATCAAACAGAATATTAATGATCAAATATCAAATACACGTCATTCATTTGATCTGGCTCCGACAGACGGTTTATATGTTTTTATTTTGAAGGCAGCAACGTAATGAAAACAACAACAGGGTGCAGGATGAGAGAAGTTAGCAGACAGAGAGCGACAGACTTCAAATGACAGGATTCACAACTTGGATTCATTTTTATTTAAAGCTGTTTTGATCAGTGGACCCTAACAGACTAAAGGAAGATAAATAATCAAGGAACGGACATATAACGGGCTTAACGAGCGCTTCAAAGGTAACGGGAGTCTGCATTTTATTTCTTTTAATCTCTTGTACCATGCAGGTTACACCGGTAAATCTATAAGAATTAGACTTTGGGGCTCGTTGTTTCCGTTAAATTAACTGAACGATTGAATTGTGGAGAATCTAACTAATCTAACGATGTGCCGCATGTTCATACTGACACATTGATCAGACGTTTAAACATTAATATTTGTATTAAAGATCTTAGCAACATAGAAGCAGCTAAAGCGGCGACCTATCTATAAAAACCAGACCAGGCATTTATTTGTCTAAATGTGTTCCCACACCAGGCCAGTAAACGGGGTAGGCGGCTATTTGGGACTCTGCTTTTAATTGAAGTTTTATGGTATGTTAATTGACCCTTCTCTAAGCCACGCCCCCCCCCCTTAGTTACTGTTGCTAAGTCCGACAAACTCGGAGCTGTTAGACAATTTATCACGGCGCTGCCGCTGTCTGTTGCTGCCCTCCCCGGGAAAAATGTTGTCAAATTGTTGGAAAAAGCGATCTCAAAAAGAAGCAGACAGTTTTGCAGATGCATTCTGCATTTGAAGGTTGTATTCAGGCTGTCGTCTCGACTCAAATGGACTCAAACTGACTTGAAAAGAAATAATGACAGAAGCTAAAGCCTACCGGGAACAATACACAGCCGACATTTTTCTGGATTCACACGGCAAACGAACGCCGCTCTCCTGGTTGAGAGTCCGTTTTCTGGCCCTCCGTCCACCCCGACCACCACCTTACTCTGACTTTTCTGTTAAATATACTACACCTACCTTCAGCGTAGTGCGTTGTCGCTCCCCGGTGCTTTCCAAACTGATGCCAATGGACCACGAGCACGCGTCCATCTGTGGCCCCTTGAGAGTGAGAGCGTTGTTTCATACGACACAAGGAACATGTTTACGTCGATATTACAGACAGTTCAAATATAAAGGTGGTCCAGAGCAACCTCTAAAGATGCTTGTTATGGTGACACTGGTCTCTTTCTCGATTGGTTTTGTTCATCTTTATCATCTTTGTGTGTCTGTGTTTGTGTCTGTGCTGCACCGTACAATGTGTTTACACGCCTGTGTATGCTTGTGTTGTTCTGTGCATGTGTTTCTCTTTGCGTGTGTTTCCCTACAGGAGATGAACCCGTACTCGACGGTCACGTCCGAAGAAAACGAATTAGACCGCAGGTACTGTGTGCTGAAACTTCACGTGCCCTTCAGTGATCTGATGCACTCACCCCGCACGAACGCTGGCTGGGACGACGGCACGGTCACTTTCAGACAACCAATCACACAGAGAAACACACACCCTGTGTGATTTTAGATGTTTGATTTGGATTTCTTACTTTGTTTTTTATGTTAAAGGCCTGTACAGTAGAAATAACTCAGAAAGTCCATCACCAGTCTACGTTTCAGAACCGCAATGCTTTAGGAAACACAAACATAAACATGAATTATATTGGGCTCCAGCCCATATTTGTTTAAATTTCATCAAATTGCCCCCATTATAAGCAGCTGAGGTCGCCGTTAGCGGCTCCTGTTAGCAGTGTGTTCATGGATGTACAGACAGCCGTCACTGGATTACTGTGACACTGAAGAAAACTTTAAAAAGTGTTAATTCTCAGGGGCGTTCTGCAGTTATGAGGAGCCTCTTTTGTCTGTCATTAAGCAGATTAATGAGCGTTTATTTCAGATACAGAGATTAAGTCCCCCTGAATCTAAAACTATGTGTATCCGTCTGTAAGATCAGACATGACAGAGGAGTAAAATGTTTGGCGCAAATTATGTCAATCTAAGGGGTTTTAAAGTACCTAAATGTGCTCCGTGAGCTGCATGCACCTGTCCCTTTCACCTCACGCCTCACAAAACCTCTGCTGTAGCTCTGTCCTTTAACTGTTCGTGTACTTTAATGTAGATCCTGGCATATCTAGACAGATTATTATTATTATCACATTTCTTTACTGCAAAACGTGTCGTGAAAACTATGAATCAGATGTTCGTGTCAGAATCCCCACAGTTCACCTGGATGCATTGCAAAGACTTCAGGTGTGAGTGTCTGAGTGTTTATTATTCACAGAGAAGTTGTGAGAGGTTAAATCTAAAATGTGCCACCAACATTTGGAGATAAAAGTGGTGTCACAGGATAGTTGATTCACAGCTTTATTCTGATGCCTGTAAATATTGTTTTGTGAGTTTTTGTAGCTTTGATAAGAAAATCTGATCAGTTTAGTTTCCTTAAATTTCAGCTGCAGAGACACATAGAGGTAACAGTTGTTTATCGTACTTACAGGATAACAGTACTTATTTTTTACATATATTTTTTATCATAATCCCAATTGATCCAAGCGCACTGATTTACGGTCAACTGTCGGTTTTACTGCAACAAAAGTAGTAACAGGCTCTCAAACAGTGCCATCCTTCAGAAACAGACTTTAATGCTGTTATTGTTGTTGTTACTGCACACACTGGAGACTGGTTTTTAAAGACACATCGTTACAGATGGTGACCAGGGGATTCATGACAGGATTTTGGTTGTTTCTTTAGAAAAGTTCTCTTCAATGAATGAAGTGTGAAAACACGTATTGATTCTGTAAACCAGAGCACGCCGCCGCCGCCACCGCCACCATGTTGCATTATCTTGCATTTCACCCTTTTTTTCCTGCACGGCTGCTGTCGCCTCTCTGCGCCGTGAAGTCTGATCCCGTTTACCCGCTCACGCCTGGCAGCAGACGTTGTCATGAGTGAACCTAAAGAACAACAGTTAATCTCTCTTTTCATACATGACAACATGTGGCGGAGGAAATATTTTCCGAACACATTTGTTTTTAAACTCGGCTATCACGTCTGCATTTATAGCTTCCATTTTTATTTTTATTATTTACAGCACAAACAGTTTTAGCTTGTATATCATAACATGAGGCGGCACGATGGCGCCTCACAGCAGGAAGGTTCAGGGTTCAAACCGTTCAAATACAAATATTCATGTAATAAATATAGAAATGTCAATTAGATGGTAATCTGCATGAGAAATAAAGACCCAGACAGACGCGATCACTAAACAGTGTGTGTTATATATTCTGCAACATGGGATCAAAATTTTTTAAAAATTCCAAAATTCACAATTTTGCCAAATTATATACCATTTGCATTAAAACAGCCAAAATGGTCAAAAATATTAAGATAGATATTAAGGGCTGCAGCTACCAATATTTTAGTCTGAGGGTTAATGTCTTGACTCCAACTTATTATTCTACTGTATATCGTCATATATTTCTCAGAATAATTGTTTTTGTCAGTAAAATGCCAGAGAGATATTGTTTACTATCATGCAATAATACTAAGAGAAGATTAAGACTTGCTGCTTCATTTTTTTAGTTGAAGCGACTAATTGATAAGTTGCTGCAGCTTAAGTGCCGATGAAGATAAACAGAAAGCATGCATGCAGCGATCTGAGTGGTGAAAAGTTTCTCTTGTTTCCCATAAGCCCTTGTGATTCCTGTTGTTTTCTCATCTCTTTCACTTCACCTGCCAGCCTCCTGCTGTTCGCGGTGAACAGCGCCCTCTACAGTCATTTAACAGTCAAAGTCACGGCCGTAAACAACCAAACTCTTCTTGTTTCTCCAACACAAATTAAAGTGGTTCATTCCTCATGTAACACGCTGCACCTTCAAAGATGCAAGACATAAAAGCACACTTTACATTTTTTAATGAATGAATGTTAAAGTTCAGTACTCCTACTTTGTGCAGTTTTTGAGCTTGTGTATGTGTACATGTACACATAGTGTCCAGTTTATTAGGTACACCTACATAAACTAAAGCAGTTTAATGCAAAGGTTTTTGCAGTAATCCTTCATGAAGGTATTAAACTGTATGTGATGTTACACAGAGAGCTGCTCCTGTTTATTTATATCCACCCTCACTGATATAAACAGGCGGACAAAATAATAGAACACCTAGTTCAGCAGCTATACAAACAGCAGCCTCTGAAATGATCTCTCTAAAGCAGCTCCTACACAGATCTGCATTAGGCAGGTGTACCTAATAAACTGGCATCTGACTGTAATGTGTGAGATGGCAAGAGTGTAACCACCACTGTTCCTCAGCATCACTCTGCACCTGAAGATCACCTGCCCGCCCTCACCCGCCCAATCCCAGACGAGCCTCGCCCCCGGGATCGCCCCGTCGCCACACCTGCCGACACGCCCGCCCGTGCCCCATCAGCATCCAGTGGAGTCAGACCGCGAGGAGCCCGGCCTCTTCTCCAAGCAACAACGCTGCCCTCATCCAACCTCACCTGCCTCCACCTGGAGCAGAGTTTCACCAAAAACTGCACGCTCACTTCGGTGACTGTGCCGAGACCGTTCTGTAGACACACACAGGTTTACTGCTGTGAGCTTGACAACACACACACACACAGGGAAGGTGCAAAGTGTTGCAAACTGATAATAATCTGCCTGATATCTCTGATTTAAACCCAGTTTTTACAGGCTGAACAAGCGTACAGATTGTGCTCTTTCACACTTCATAATTGGACTTGTATCAAATGTAATGTCACTGTATAAAGCTCCCCCTGACTAAAACTATCGCAGCTCTCAGGTCGGATCTCTGTGAACTGGCAGAGCACTGAGAGGCCTCGAGGATCCAACCAGCTTTCCTGTAGTGACGATAATAGCCGCAAGAAACAACCAAATGTGTTACTAGTAATGCGTGACCCTGCTCTGAACCCGTGTTAGGCCTCAGTACTGTTG